CAAAACTACAAATGTTTTAATATATATTCACAGTTTTATATATTCAAATGAATCATATAAAAAATATAAATGCAATTTGTTATTGTTATCGTCAAACATCTTTTCATACAAGTAGAGTACAAAACATAATAAACAAATATGTCGTATTAGCTAACTTTGTCATGATGAATGTTTGAAATGTATGTGTAAAAGTTAAAATGAAATATGCTAGCTAAACATGTGTTTTTCATGTCTAACTTATTTATTTATATCCTAAAGATGAAGAGTGAAGATAAATACAATATATAAAGTTGTCGATGTTCGGTTCGGTTTACGGTTTTTCAATTTTAAACCAAAACAAATCATTCGAATCATTCGATTTGGGTAAATTATTACCAAACAGTTTACTTAAGTTAACCAATATCAAACCAGACTACCCATTTTTTAATTGACTCAGTTCGATTCTGTTAAACTAAAACATTTTGCTTAGCCATGGTAACCCAGTTTGGGACTTTTTAGTTTGTATTTTGTCCCAAAAGATTTACGTCCTTTAGCTTTTATTCGAAAGGCTCAAATTATATTGGATTGGATAAACTTTGCGGTCATTGAACGGGGTTCATGTTACGCGAGCCGAACCAACCCAACTATATACGATAGTATGGTCTATGCTCGGTTTGATGGTATAATTAGAGTGCTAAGTATAGGTTGGGTTCTAAATCAGTTGACATACTCGACTTCGTAGTACTAGTCAATGGGGGATAAATTTGAAAAATACATTGAAATGATGATCATCATTGAAATTACAAATTTCCCATTGGTAGTATAGAATAATACTCCCTTCATCCCAAAATTAAGTTCACGGATTGACTTTTTGAGTCAAACTTTGTTAATTTGACTTTTTGAATCAAACTTTGTTAATTTGATTGTTAGTTATTCAAAAACCGTATTATCTTATAATACCAAAATATTTTTGAATACTTCATTTTAATATTACCTATATACTACGTATTATTGAAATGTTGATTTATTATAAGTTTTATAAGTGTATATTTTTATAGAGTCCTGATCCTGTCCAGACGTCCGGACAGGAACCGCCGTCCGGCCGGCGGCGTTTGGCCGCCTTCCCGGTGGAATTTTTTGATGAAATTTTTATGGCATGTTCTCCATCAAGTCTAGTTTATCCACAAAAAAATTCAGCCAAAAACTCAATCGGGAAGGTCGTCAAATGATTTTTGCAAGTTAACTGGTCCGGAATATGTATTTTCCGGACCAGTTAACTTGCAAAAATCATTTGACGACCTTCCCGATTGAGTTTTTGGCTGAATTTTTTTGTGGATAAACTAGACTTGATGGAGAACATGCCATAAAAATTTCATCAAAAAATTCCACCGGGAAGGCGGCCAAACGCCGCCGGCCGGACGGCGGTTCCTGTCCGGACGTCCGGACAGGATCATTTGTGTATTTTTATATATACATGGTCAAACATTGATGTTGGAGACCGTGAATCCGTGAAAGTTCATCTGTGAACTTAAATAAGGAACATAGGTAGTATATATATATTAATATATAAATACTATATAGAAATTCAAATTTTGAAGTAATTATATCAGCTTTTAATTGTTTTTGAATGGCGCCGGTCCCACTTATCCACTATGTATCATCTACAAACTGCAAGTTTTTCAATAATTTTATGAAGATTAAACTTGTAAATAAACAAATTTTATGGTACAAGATTTCAATAAGATACACGTCCAGTAGTGCTTGGAATTTGCAATAAAAAAATGATCAAATATACTTTATTCGGGTACAAAATGATTAAAATATACTAGAGAGGATTACTATATACTACGTACTCCGTATCTCTTTGAGCTGAAGAATATAGTAATGTTACGTTGGGTCTATAATGGTCATTTGATTAACAATGAAATTATGAAAAACAAGTAATTCATGCAGTTTGTTTGAATATTGTGTGTGTGGCCACCAAGTATAATGAGATTCAAGAAATTAAATAATCTACAATGAATTAACATCCTTAAATAGAACCAAAACATTGCAAGTCTTCTCAAATAGAATTTTGATTGTTTTGTTCTAATTAAGACAAGGTACAATAATACTCCCACTTTGTGATATTTTTGTTCATTTTTTCTAGGACTGAATAAGTTTTATTTTAGGAAGAAAAACATGTGTACTTTTATTTTTAAAACTTCGCATATGTTTTATTTATTCTTATATGAAATGAATTAATTCATTAATTGTGTTAATATTGCTTTTATCTCCTTGGATAACCACAATTTGTTTTGTGGTCAAGGATGCTGCCCATAACATTATTCAGGATGGAGAGGTTATATAGTAATACCAACAAAATAAGCTAATGCATACTCAGAAAGCGATATGATCGTGTTGTATTATCATGTGTATACAAACGAGTAACATTATTTTATTATATTATTATAGTATATATTAATCCCCTTCCAATATTTATTTTATTGATATTTTTTTCTGTAATTTCTCATAGTATGTGTTCTGTTAAATTCTATTAATTCTATTAGCTCTAATTTCATACGAGTATACTTCTTTTAATTTTCAATTGCATAGTTCTTCATTTCATTTCACCTACTTTTTAACATTTATTACCGTTTGAAAAGGTAACAATGCTAAAAACACTAATTAGGGATTTAGGGACTATAATAGAAACAATTTTTTCCTGAGACGAAGCACAATTATGTTTAAGTAATGGAGCCCAAATTATTAATTATCTCACAAATGACAGAAATTTAAAATCATTTTATGGATTTCAAGAACAATGTAGGGTCCTGAGCTAACATCACTTATCCATATGGTTTTTACATTAGCAATAAAAAACAAGGAGCAAATCCTTGCCCTGAGGTGGATTTCTTGAATAATATTCCTGAACTATTCCATAAATATGGAATAAATTTGTGGTGGTCGAATGGTCGGCGTTCGGTGAAAAAGAAATCGACGGTGGTGATGTGTTTTTCTCTTTAAAAATGGTGACACCGTCTATGACAGGGGTGGAGACAAGGAGGGGCTGGAGGGGGCCTCGGTCCCTGCAATAAAAAAAATTCTTAAGTATATATTATGTATAAATACTTTTAATCTATATAAAACATGTTGATATTTTAAACTTTGGCCCCAACAATGTAAAATTTTTAAGAACCGGCCCCCTTAATCATATATTTCTAGTTCCGCCACCGGTCTATGATGAGTATTATCACCACCAATAGAACAATAACTCTCACAATCAAGCACCCTTTTGTATTACTTCATCATTGCCGGAAAGTCAAAATTTGCCTTTTCCTTCTCCCCTGTCGGGATATAAGTCGCATTCCTCTATCCTTACTCTAACTGAATCCGCTGCCCTATTGGCTCAGTTGAATCTAGGCGAGAAGACTAGCATTTCATACCGATAAAAGCATATACAATAAGATTTGACATAATTTCTAATAGGAAAGAAGTAAGTAGGAGAGAAAGTGCAAAAGTATGAAAGATGAGACAAAAAGTAAAAATTAAGGTTAATTGAGTATTTTAATGGAAAAACTTACTAAAAAGGGAAAACGTAGCAAAAAGTTAAATACATCTCCAAAAGAAAAACACAACAAACAAAAGAATACGAAGGGAATATAAGAAAAAGGCTAATAAGATCAACTGTTAGATCTATAGGGATTCAAAGTTTGATGGTTCTTTATATATTGTTCCGCCGGTTGGATGATGTGGTTGCAAGAAGAAAACGAAATTGTTCCGAACAACAAAAAATTGAAGGAAAAATTCTCTAAATAGGAGTAAAAAAAGTTTTGAAATTCCAAAATAGAGCCTTCATGTTATTATTCCCTAAACAGGAGTAATTTATACCAAGTTTGACATTATTAAGCTTTAAACATGACAGTTTTTGCCAAGTTAAAAAACTTGACAAAAATTACTCATATTTAGTGAATAATAACATGAAGGTCCTATTTTGAAATTTCAAAACATTTTTACTCCTATTCAGGATCATTTCCAAAAAAAATAAAGGCACATGTACAACTATATCAATGATTAATCGGCCAATGGGTTATTGAGAGGCTAAAATGCTATATTGGGTTATCTTTGAAAGTCCAGGAATTTGATTGAGTGTTTATATAGTATGCGAGTTTAAATATCATTTTCGTTATAGTTCAACGGGATGATCTATCTGACATTTTTCCTTAGTAATTAAAAAGTTCCTACTTACAGAGACATCAATAATGGGAGCTATTCTGAAATAAGCATAAAGACCGTGAGGAAGAAAGACTATGAAGAATAAAGTTAGGGTTTCAAACTTCCAGAGGATTATGGAGAAAAGATATAACAGAAAGTCGACCACATCGAAGATAAAGTTCACAAAATTATTGCGATGTTGAGCTAGGGTTGAATACTTGTTGTTTCGAGAAAGTTTAATCCACTTGGAAGTAAATAGGGAAGGTTCATATCCATCCCAATAGGTACTTTTATATTCATTTTAGAGAGAGGTAAATATGTCATTTAAGTGCTTATCCTTCAAAAATCCCTACTCGAGGGTTTAGAACGATTACAAATACATACGAAATCCTTACAAAATTGTCTAACAGAAAAGGAGGGTCATAAAGCTTCACATCTCCTCCATATCATTCCTCGGCAAAGTTAAAATCGCAGACACTCTATTAGCAATTTAGTGAAAGCTAAGTCGATATTGTGTTGTGAATGTTTTCCAGACGAGTTCTAGGATTCACAAGGGGTGTCTTGCTTTCAGCATCAAGAATGGACACTAACTTTTTTCCAGACGATATGCTTGAATGTTTGACGACATCTTCTTAGTGTTTGTCAAACATTATTCTGTGTATAAATATCAATATCAATTTGAATTATGATTGTAGAAAGTATTCTATCTTTTGATTTGCATTTGTATATTAATTTACTTAATATGCAAAATTCCAAAAGAATATTTGCATTTAGATTGCTATTTAGGCTATTTAGCCAATCTAACAGAGAATGAACTCTTGGGCTAGAAACTAGAAATGGAGAAAAGTTCGTATCTTCGGTGGAATTCCAACTAAACTTTGGGCTCAGTTTAAAACCCAAGCAGCGCATTTTTGGGTCCTGCTTGCAAGTAACGTCTTTTTGGCGGAGGAGGGTGCAGTCATCTAGTCGCCGGCCAGTCGCATTTTGCAGTTACAAGGTGAGACTTTTCCTTGAAAACTGATAGCAGGATTCGCGGCCGACCATAGTCCTCAGTTTTTCTATCTGTAATTACTGGAGTTCATGAACTAAGGCACATCCTTGCTACCCCAGAAATTAGGTCTTTTAAGATTTCTGTAGATCGAAATTCTATAAAAAAGCACTAAACTTTGAGCCAGATTATTATTAATGCTCTACATTATTACATTTTTCTTAAACAGAGCCTGAAGTTGGAGCTGACATTTTCTTCTCTTTCTGTAACCTGTGAAGTTGCAGGGTGATGTCTCTGTGGCCGAAGCAGCAACCAATGGGGGATGAAAAGGACGCGTTTTATGTTGTTCGCAAGGGAAATGTTATTGGCATCTACAAAAGCTTAAGTGATCTCCAAGCCCTAATTCGGTCTTCTGTAAGCTCTGTGTTCTTGTTTGGTGTTTAATTTTGTGATGCATGTTCTGATTGCTGAAAGCTGTTTTATCTGCTATTTATACGTAAGAATTTCATTTTTTTCAAAATGCAGAACAAGTAATATTTTTGGATTAACTTAGAGGTGTTATGTGGTACTGACCTTTCAGATTGGAGAACCTTCTATCAGTGTGTTTAAAGGGTATTTCCTGGCCAAACAGTCTGAAGAATATCTTGCATCTCACGGGCTTAAGAATGCAATGTACTCCGTTGACACCATTGATGTTCGCAATGATCTATTTGGCTTACTCGTGCCCTGCCCTTTCCGGGTTTGACACCTAACCTTTGATTTGTAATGCTCCATTGGGATGCATGTTTAACTTTATATTTATATACATATACATGATTACATTATATTGCTGCACCAAAGGTTGTAAGTATTTGTTCCTTATCACCAGAAAAAAATATAACAATCTTCCATTTTATTTATGAAAAAAAACGAATAGCATTGGTTTTGTCATTCTTTTATCTTCGTGACATTTTTTCCAAATTACTCCTCTGTTGCATTGGAAATGAATATATTGGTCAAGTATACTAACACTTGCAGTGATGTTCTTTTCAGTGCATTGTTGTCTTTTAAGCCCAATCTTGCTATTCTAAATGACTAAAACATTAACAGAATGGCATGTGTTTGTTTTAATAGAAGTTGTTCAAAATAGGTGCATGAGTCCTATTTTGGGAAAAATACAATGCAACTCCCTTTTGAGAAAATTTGCAATGTTTTACTTGTATTTAGATATTTTTTTCTTTTAATAGAAGTCACTCAAAATAGGATCAAAACATAGACAATGTTATAACATAGGATCAAGTATGTTTTCTTCCAAAATAGGAGTTATTTATTCCTATTAAAAGAATAAAAAAATAAAAAAACTTTTGTAAATAGGAGTTCATGAGTCGTATTTTGAGAAGAATACAATGCAACTCTTATTTGTGAAAATTTGCAATGTTTTACTCATTTTAGGGAATTTTCTCTTGTTTTAAATGGATGACACTTTCTTGTTAGTTTACTCAAAATGGATTTTTGTGGCAGCAACCAGGATCTTCTAAAGACAAACCACTCAGCAAGGAATTTCAGGAGAAGAGAATACTGGTAATACGCAATATATGAGCATTTGTGTAAAGTTATTGGTTCTATGACATATTTATGCATACTAAACTATTGATTCACTCTATTTGGTTTTGTTTTCAACCTCTATCTTCCATCTCCAGTCATTCCTTTTGATTCCTATTATAAGTAAGAGTAACCATATACCATTACCATCTAACCTTGAAAGATAAAAAGTATCTAACCACTGCCCACAAATTCAGAATGAGTTTCTAGTCATGTTTGAAACTTTCTGGTTCAGCCTGTCGTTATTCTATATTTCCACCATACACCTATTGGCCCAGCAATAGATGTTTTATATTATTTGGAATTTGGATAGGGATTCTTCTTGATTTTGGAGTTTGATTAGATGAAGCTGATTAAATGGTGATATTTAGTTTGTTCTCTATGATCTAACTATTATTTTGTGACATATTTGCATTCAACTTCAATTATTCATCTTCATTATGAAGAAGGTTGTTTAAATGGGGACATTTTTCTTCATCAACAGGAAATAACTGGACCTGCTATGTATTCAGCTGCTGTTGTTCCACAAAAACAAGGAAAATTAGATAATTTCCTTGAAGTCCCTCCAATTTCTTCTTACTGTGTAAGTTTCTTCATTGAAGTTCTCATTCTTCGCCTTCCTCTTACACTTCATGTCAGGTTCCATGTATGAAAACATTGAGCCTATAAAAAATCAGTCTCTTCTTCTGTTAACTGTTTATAGTAAATCATCATAAGGAGAGAGTCAGTGTGAACAGTGTACTGTAAATGTCAAAATTATCAAAAGATAAGCCACACCCTTTTTGAAAATTTGAGCTAACTACGCAGCATGCATACATGAACTCCAATATATATTAGACCTTCATCACAGATCCTATTGGTTTCATTTGTCCTCTTTCTTTTTCATAGTTACTCCCTCCGTCCCCTTTTAGATGTCCCGGAAGAGGGTGACACGAGTTTTAAGAAAAGTGGGTTTGTGTGGTTGATATTAATTGATAAAGTAAGAATAAAGTAAGAATAAAGTAAGAATAAAGTAAGAATGATTTTGAGCCACCCAAACTTTACCAAATAAGGTATGAGACAATTAAATAGGGACATCCCAATATGGTAAAATGGGACATTTAAAAGGAGACGGGGGGAGTATTTCTTTTCGCCTGGAATATTTTTCATTAGTGTTACTAATTGTCACATTTCATTATTTGCAGAGCTCTTGTGTTCTTGAGTTTGATGGTGCTTCAAAAGGAAACCCTGGACTTGCTGGTGCTGGGGCTGTTCTGCGTGCAGCAGACGGAAGTGTGGTAGTTATTCTTTTTTGTTGTAAACATTGTTGGTTGGGTTGAAATAGGTAAAGAAAGAAATGTGAGTGAGAGAAATACAGGAGAAATGAGAAACTTCTCTTTGTTTTCGTGACAAGAGAATGAAAACAGTAGCTTCCACCACCGTTTTCCTATGCTCTTATTGGGATTAATAGGAGCGAAATGGGGTTCTCAATTTCTACATATTCTTCTCCATTTCTCTCCCACGGTCCCACCAAACAACGCCAAAACTACCTAATTTTCCTCTTCTTTTTCGTCCATTTCTACCCATTTGTCTTTTTTATTTTCTATTCCTTCGCTCAGCTAATGAGATATAGGCATACAGCTTCCAACGTTTTATACTGTTAATTTTTATAGGTTTTCCGGTTGCGTGAAGGTTTGGGCATTGCAACTAACAATGTTGCTGAGTACAGAGGTTTGATATTGGGATTGAAGTATGCTCTTGAGAAAGGCTTCAAACACATACGTGCCCAAGGAGATTCAAAGCTTGTCTGCATGCAGGTCTTTTCTCTCTATTTTCGTGAATTACCTACACTCTGAAGTCTGAACAAAATCATGCATGTTTATTGATATCTTTCTGCAAAAAGAGATTTGCACAAAAAATTACTGATCATGCATGATTTTGGACAAAAGTTTCTCTATGTTAACCTTCCTCTTTTATTTACCTAGTATTTTCCATGTCCCAAACGGTACATTAGAAATGGCATTGTGATGGTGTGACCTGTAATGTTCCATTTGGGACCTGGAAACCACTAGTGAAAGAAAGTATAGGAACATGGGAAGGAATGAAAATACAGGGACAATATATGATAAACTACAAACAACAACATCCAAGCCTTAATCCCAAAAGAGAAGAAAGACAAGAAGAAAAAAGAAAGGAAAAAAAGTAAGATTAAACAGATAAGATAAAGATAAATAAATATAAAATAACAATAACATAAGAATATAAAGAAGATTAAAGGTAAAAAGATAAAAGAGCACAAAAAGCTAGAAGATAAAAAACATAAGTACATAAAAAGATAAAGAAGATAAACGATAAAAGAAAAAGAGAGAAGATAGAAAAGAAATCAATCGTCCACACGAATGTGCACCCTCCACTTTGCTCTCTCCAAAGCCATATTCTCATCCAACCCAAGAAGACGCATATCAATTCTAATTCCTCTAATCCAAGTCTGTTTGGGCCTTCACCTTCATCTCCTCTCTGTCTCTTCTCCCCACGACCCCACTCCTGAAGTCGTCTAGAAGATACACTAAAACACAATAAATTTGTTCTTGAAATTTGCTGATATGCTTTGCGTATATTTATGTGTACGATATAAACACCTACGTCTACAACAATGACAACAACATCATCCAAGCCTTATTCCCCAAAAAATTCGGGGTCGACTAACATGAATCGATCCATGATATCAAAGCCAAAAAGAGTTGAAAGATAAGAAGAATAAAAAGATAAAGTAGATAA